ATACCTTTTTATACCTTTTTATACGGGACGCAATTCGTAAGCAGCGATCCGTTGGTAGCAGCACTTTCTGATACGGTGTTTTGACTTTCAACTTTTTTGAAACCGACGGGTTATAACAATTGCGTTAAAACGTCCACTTGGCCAATTTACTTTTAACCTTCTAGTACGGAATAGTTTGGTAAGAACTTTGGGAGATAAGTGGATTTGTGCGGTCCAAGAGTTTGTTGTGGACTAATTGTCCGAAACGCTTCCAGTGAGCGATTGTTTGACGGTTCGGCTTGGCCTTACGGTGAGCTTAACGCGTTAAAATAAATTCACGACTTAATCGAAAGTTTCCTCACCGTTGTTGGAACCGTCCAGCGACCCTTCGGTTCAAACGCTTTTTTTAAAGGCCGCAAAACAGCTATTCACGTAACCGTTTCACGGGCATACCCGTACGCAGAAATAATTTACCGATTCACCGAGTTTTACGTACATTTTACCGGTAAGCTCCGCATCACCGCAGCGCGTTTGCATTCCGCGTTGCGTTTTTTTCTCCGTCAACCGCGTTCGATGAGCGTGTACGTATGTCCCAGAATATTATCGACGCACGCACTCGGTCACACGTTTTCCAACGGTAGAAAAATTAAAGAAAAAAATAAAAATCCCTCAAAAACGACCACGGTTTATCGATTAGTCGGCCGATTGGCGTATCACGGACAAGCGGCGCTCAACCGGACGTTCGTCAGATGTCGAAAAAGTTTCTAAAACAACAAACGGTTGTCCGGCACAGCTTCCGGGATCGGGTTCGAGGGATTCTCCGGGGCTCCGAAACTTAGTGCAAATTTATTTTAAATCGTATTGTTCACGCGGAAATGTTATTTCCACAACGTATTTGACTTACGTTACGCCGTGTCGTCGCGGTGATCGAAAACCGAATCGCCGGAAACCGTTATCGTTCGTTCCGTGTTTTCTGGCTCTAACAACCGCGATGCTATCGCGAAAACTACGATCTCGGTCCCAAAAAAGAAATACGTGTTTCGCGCCAACCGCAATGGTCGTACAGCAATACGATTTCAGTGCGAAATAAAACGTGCCCCCTCCCTGCCCGGTAGAAGTTTTTTCTAGGAGCTTTTTCTGCGTGCGGTTTTAGCAAAAAGAAAAAAAAAAAAAAACCGTTTGTTTTCGTACGAGTTTCGCGGTTTACTCGAAATTTATGAATGGGATATCTGCAGTGCACAAATCAACGAATCGAGATGCGGGCGTTACTAGTGTGTACGATCTCGGGTGAACGCGCACCGGTAACACCTTGTACAGCGTCGGCGGCGTGAGGATTAAAAGGACTCGTAAAATCTTACTGTTCCGGGACCAGCAAACTTTCTGCGATTAGATCCGTTCACTATGATCGCACGCGCATCTCGTACGTGCTAGACGACCGCATGGAAATACGCGACACTGTATGAATCCGTTGATACCTCTAGAATCGTTTCGAAAGTTGTAGGATTCCGTTTCGCGGGTGCAGTGGCGCGCTCGGGCGTTTATTTTGGCTTGGACTTACAACGCGTGTACTTTTCGGGTTCGGCTGAAAAATCGTATCTACCAGCCGAACAAGATCGCGTGTACCATACTATTGTAATTGACGATTTGCGAGGAAAACGTTTAAAGTATTTTATGTTTAAAATCAAACTTCCTGGATGAAAGAACAATAACGTTTCCAAGAACACAAGACAAGGACATACGAGTATATACTATTTATATTAACAATTGGTAAACAAAAAGTCGCGTATTGTTGTCGACTACTAATTATTTGAAAAATCCCGTCGTTGGCTACATTAATATTGTAATGATTTTTAATACTTATCGATTCGTTGTCATGTGCGTGAATGTTATTCTATAAATAATACATTTATTACGTTACATTTATATACGATAATCTCGTGCATTACATTTACGTTCATGATGTTTTCGAAAAGTTCACTGTTTAATGTGGTGAAAAGTACAATTGGAAGCAGACGTAACTTATGGCAATGGGTCGCAAACTCATTTAACCAGTAAGTGTTTTCACCTCAAATCAAACGGTTTAAAGAAAATTATTTACTTCATAGTTGATGTGATTTATGTTTTATTTTTTTCAAACGAAGGTTTGACGAAGAACGTGCAAATGAAATTGGTCCTAATTTGGCATGCGCTGAATGGCTAATGAAAAATGGTGCCAAAGTGCGTTGTAGGGGCTGTAAAGAATTCGTAAGCCATTACAATTGTTTACCTACTGGATATGATTTTCATCGCCAGTTCAAAATCGAGCAAGTTTATGCTGGAGAAGAAGCATCTATATCACATATTGGATTTGCTCACTTTAGTATGTATAAATTAATACAGCAATTTTGATTACTTCTCCTTTGTCCTGATATAACTTACTAGTTCTCAAATACCTTCAAAGGTCTTATGTGTATAAATTATTGGTGGATTAAATAATAATCGTCATTAGTTGTACAAGGAATTTATATCAAACGTTTTATATAGAACTAAATGACAATAAAAATTTTATTTTCTAAGTTTTTTTAAATTTCATAAAATCAAATATATTTATTTTTTATTAAACAAATATATTTGTTTCAAAAGTATCTACTATATTCTGTACGGGTGGAAATTAAGAAAAGACATTCTTAAAAACCTTTTAAATATTTTTATTAGCGCCACACACAATTCGATAAGATAGTGTGATTAAATTTTTTTTAAAAATTACAATTCTACTTGTATTGTGTTTTGTGTTGCCCAATCCATAGTTCCACTTTACATGTGCAATATGCTTAATGTTTAAGATGTAAGTGCCTAACTTAAAAAGTTTATGAAAATAAAATATTTAATGGCATATAAAATATTTAACTTACCTAATGAGTTTCAAAATAAAAACGTCATTGCTAAAAGTTATTGGACGGATAATTATTTTACTCATCAGTAATTTTCGCCTGACACGACTACTTTGTTCGAATGAAAATATCGATGTAAACAAATAGAGAGAAAACGATCAAAAAGAACACAATTAAATCTAGGAAGTCACACAGAGTTAAAGTTATACGCGTATTATTAATGTTTCGTTTACAGAAGACTGCAATAATATTTCGGATGTATCATTTGTTCGATGTAGTACAATTAACGATGAGGCAATACAAAAGCTTCAGATATTAAAAGATAGTTTAAAATGTTTAGAAATTGATGGTTGTGAAAATGTTACTAAAGAAGGAATAATAGAATTAGAACATCTTCAGTAAGAAAATAAATAAAAATAAAACAATATACAGTTAATAATTATTAATATTTTTCTATTTTTAGGGCATTGAAAAATTTAGAATTAAAGAATATACGATTAGAAAACGAAATTAAAATAATTAATCATCTGAAATCAAAGCTGCAGAACTGCAATATTGTATACAATGGCGAAAGTTAAGAAAGATTTGTAGAAGAATTAAAATAAATTTATTTAAATTATTTATTTATTTATTTTTTTATTTGTTTTATTTTATTTAAAGAAACGGAACGGGACCCGTTTCGCTCAAAAATGATTCTATCCATTTCCCCCAAATGTTGTTATTATAAAATTCCCGTTTCACTCAGACTAGTTTAGATAAATTTAAGATTAAGTAGGCAATGATCATTTTAAATTATATATTATTGTAATATACTTTTATTTTAAATGATATAGTATAGTTACACTTGAGTATCATTTAGCGTTATCCAGAGAACACTACAAGGAAGTGATACTGTTTGTTCTCCAAAAAAATTGCTTTTGAGTTCACAAAAAAGGTAAAATTAAAAATTTAATCCACAATATTTATAAAATAATATTAATAAAAATCAAACTTACACAATATTTTATATTTTTAATAATATGTTTTTATAAATATTGCGGACTAAATTTTAAACTATACCATTTTTGTGAATTCAAAAGCAATTTTGTCGGAGAGCAAATAGTATCGCTTCCTCGTAATGTTCTCTGGACAACGCTAAATGATACTCAAATATTACAATACTATATAGTTTGAAATAAAAGCATATTACAATAATATATAATTTAAATTTTAAAATAATCATTGTCAACTTAATTTTAAATTTATCTAAGCTAGTCTGGGTGAAACAGAACACGCCCGAAGAATTTATTAAGAAATTATCGAACCTTTTTGGTTTTGTTCATTCTAATTTATTATTTATAATAAACATTTTGTTTAATATCTAATTGAATCACTAAATGCAGAAAGGGGACATGTCCACTTTTTGCGAAATTTAGTTTATTACGGATTTGTATTTATCTGCCTTAAATACACATTTTGTATAAAAACGGGACTAATCCATTGAAACATTCAGAAAAGTGAGTATTAAGGTAATGTACACATTTTTAAACCTACCACTTTCCTAAGTCTTGCTTAGATAGATTTATGTGTCTCCTGTAAAAAAA